ACTGCACAAAATGAATTATGCTGCATTTAGATCATAAAGTGCTCCTCTTCCACGCTTGTTTTTGATTAATTTTCTTGCATCGCTTAAGCTTTGTAAGTCCATCCTATTTGCATGCTACTCACGATGAAATAAGTAGTGCTACCCCCTCGATAAAGCCTAATCATGATATCCTATTTTTTTACTTCGTGAGTGCAAAAATTAAATATGACAGCGTTTTTCAAAAGGACTTAGTTATGTAGTCACACTAACATATTTAGTTTTCTTGGTTCCAATCAGCAGACACTCTCCAAAAGTGATTAGTGACACTACGTCTGGATACTTGCTGATACCTTGCATTTTAGGCCATTCAAAATGAAATAAAAGGCAAGAAATCAAATCCATTCCTTACACGCAAATAGCCTGGGGAGAGTTTTTTTCGAACCCTACTTCATTTACTGCATTGAATCACACCTCTTTCTCAGCCAACTTCCTGTAAACACAAGTGGCCCTAACACCGGTCGTCAAATATAAATAAGACGGCGTGGGTTTTCGTGGCACCTCAGTACCTGCATCATGGGTGTTACTCGTGCAGCAGTCGCGTTCATCTGGTTGGGCCTTTTGACTTTGTTCTCCACTTCCACTTGTCAGGATGCCTGTCCAGGCAATTGCGTCTGTTTCAGTCAATCCATTGTATGTCGTCGATCCACCGAGACAATAATTCCAAAGATACCAGCATTCTTGGATGGTCCACAGGGTGGTGCTTTACAGTACTTTGCTATTACTAACACCAAACTGTCACGTGTACCTACCGAGGCATTTGTTGGACTACTTGACATCATGAGCATTGACCTGTCAAATAATGAAATCGAGGTTATTGAAGAAGGTGCTTTTCAGGATCTTCCAATATTGGCGCACTTACTTCTACGGCAGAATCGACTGACACAACTGCCTGACAACATCTTTGATACCTTGCCCAGTCTGGAGGAGCTCGATCTCTCCTTCAATCAGTTAACCACCATCCCATCGTCCCTACAACGAATGGTGGGATTAAAGAGCCTCAGTTTACGTGGCAATCCTCTTCACTGTGGTTGTGGAATAGTCGATTTTGCACAGCTTCTTCCATATTGGGAAAGTTCACTGGATCGAGTAACATGCGCAACTCCAGCTCAGGTGGCTGGAAAGTCGATCAAGGAGTTGGGACGTCAATACTTCCAAGCATTTGAAGGGACTCGTCATTTAGGCCACTGGCCAGATGAATACGCCTTCCCTGAAGAGATCAGCAGGAAGCAACTAATTCGAACCCGCACACCTTGGCCATTGCCACACTGCCCAGTGAAGGATCTTGGTGGAGAAGTTGTGGATAATGTGGACAGCTCAACTGGATCATATGAAGCGCCACAAATTATAGAAGCTCCAGTTCCTGTTATGGTTGCTGAAGGTGAAAGAGTCTTCTTCGTGTGCCAGGCTACCGGTGTACCCAGACCTAAAATTAGTTGGATTTTGCCTACAAACAACTCTCAACACGTTCACCTTTGGGACAAACGAAAGGTAAGTTAATCTGTTACACCGCATATTGCTTGCGAATAGTCCTTCTGTATGGATTTCAGTAGCCATTGGAATCCTTGCTCTCTTTTTAAACTACAAAAGTCGTTCAGATCAAACCGGGATGGGTGGTTCATTACTTGGTCGGCACCAGTGACCCTACTTGGAACAGCCCACTTCACTTAACCACAGGTCACTCGGCCATCCAGACATCACACTGGTGAACAAAGCATTCGCAGTAGCTACTGCCTCAGCACAAATGCGGCTGGGATGGAGTACTGACAGCCATACCTTCATGTCTCGCCCCCTTACCGTGGAGCAGTTGAACCGATTGCTGGCTTCCGCAATTTCCTTAGCAAGAGACTTTGCCCATCACGCTTTGCTTCATGTACACGTACACAATCAGCACTGAGGTGTGCATGCCATTCTGACAGGCGGCACATGGACCAAAGCGCATTGACAGACGACTTGTGCACCAGGGCACAGTACAAGCAATTAACTGTGGTACCTACATATAGATAAGCAATTTATGGGTGGAACAATGAAAGTTCTTCCCAGTACTCGGTTTGTAGGCAGACTGTTAACTTTCAAATGGTGCGGTCGATTTGAACAGTTAGAAAAACACAAATAACCTTTACTCGCTTCTTTTTTTGGTTTGAACAGATTTTGGAGTTACGAGAGGTGCACGCCTACCACGAAGGCACGTACACTTGCGTCGCGAAGAACCAGGTGGGACAAGTCAGTCATTCGGTGATGCTTCAACTCGTGGATATCGTGAAGCCACAAATTACGGATGCACCTTCCACAAAGGCGACGGTCGGTGAGCCTGGAGGTGATATCGAGCTCACTTGTACAGCCCGTGGACGTCCGAGACCCACAGTTGATTGGCTCTATACTCACACCTCTTCTGCTAAGCGTCTCTCCACTCAGGGTCGTTATGTTGTACGTAGCTCTGCTAAACTTTCCACTCGAACCATTCAAGATCTGACTTATCGGGACTTCTTGGCACAAACTGATGAAAGCCTCCGTTTAGAAGGTGAAGAGGAATCTGTCACTCTGACCATTCGTAATGTCACAGAACTTGACACAGAAGGCCGCTACACCTGCTACGCTGCTAATCGCGCTGGCTCCACACGTGTCACCTCCCTAGTTACCTTGAAAAAGTGGACGGACATGGCCAGTGACTATGGAGGTGAAGATAAAGATGCGTCTAGAGGCAAACGAGTCGAAAGTGATAGTGCAGAAATCTCCGACAAGGAATCAGATGAGGATTTAGTGAAGCGGGTAATTGAAAAGGCCAGACGAAGAATTGATGCAGCAATCCAAAAAACTGCTGACAATCTTCGTGATCCGAAAAACCGAAGGACTGCTTCCGATATTGCTTCACTCTTTCGACAACCTAGCAAGGCTGCTGTAGAGTTGGCCAGAGCTGCTGAAGTCTATGAAGCGGCGATTGATGAAGTTACCCAAATTCTACAACGGCAGAGAAACCTGTCTTTTGGAAAGGATACCGAGGGTCCCTACCGCAGTGACGCAGACTTTGATGAGCAGAAAAGACAAGCAATTAGTAGTTGGTAACTACTGGTAGGGGTAGCGTGGGATTTAAGGGTAGAAAGAGAGAAGCGCGTATTTGGGAAATGTATTTCTGGTGTTGTTTGGTCATCTTTTTGCCCATCAATTGAAGCATTTGCATTAAAAAGTTTTTTGTTTATAAGAGAAAACTTTATATCACTCTACCAATGGACAGCAAAGGTTCTTGTTTATAGAAAAGAACTTTTTTCTACCTGAAACACCTCCATGTATTTCTACACAGACTCTTATCCTCCTCAAGCTTTTCTTTCTGCAGCTATTATCCCGTCCAAAGGGGCGAACTAGAGGATGTTCATGTAATTTCTCCCCAAATTTATTAAAGAGAAATTGTGACTTCAAATTGATGCATGCTTAAATACAATTTGTTGTTTGTTTTACATTAGTAAATGACCTTAAATCTAATAATGCCAAATTCAACACTCGTGAATGAGGAGGCAGTCATCATAAACCACATCTCGGGTACCTGAATAGATGTTGCATCGACGACGAATTTTTTGTGTCCATCAAATAGCACACCAAGAATGTTTTCGTTAGATGTTGAGGTGACAACGAAGTTTCTTTTGCATCTATCAACTAAGGGATTAGAAAACTTTTGGGTTATATCTGCATAAATTAGTTAAACGCGAGCAAATAAATGACTGCCACTTAAGTGTGGGCAATGCCAACGACTAAAAAAGGTTTTTCTGCCACCTCAAATGCTTAATTACCTCAGTGGTAAAATAATAACTTAAAACACGTCGGTGAATAGCGATTAGTTTGTAATTACTGGGGAGGGGTAGTGTGGGACACAGAGAAGTGTGGATTTGGGAAATGCGTTTCTAGTGTTTTTTGATCATCTTCTTGCCCGTCAACCAAAGCATTTGTACAGAGAAGGTTCTTGTTTATAAGGGAGAACTTTTTCTACCTTACTCACCTACATGTATTTCTGAACAGCCTCTCATCTTTACCACTTTCCTGTCTTCTCAGGCGACAATCCGTCCAACATTGCGTTCCTCACAAGAAGATGCCTCAACTAGTGGTGATTACATCGTTTTCATGTGTACGCCCCATTTCTTGTTATTCACTCTGACTCCTTGCCTCAACGGTTTACGTGATTGGCACAGCTGAAAGCTCAATGAGACGCACCATAATCAGACAGGCGAAGTCGTCAATGGAAATTTTATTTGGGGGGTTGAGCAAGTACAGTGCAGTCAATTAATACAATTATCCTACTCCACTTTTTGAAAGGAGGCCTTCTGATACACCCAACTAGGGTGGAACCACACCTGCTCGTCACCACTGATGAGGCGAATACCGGGGACTGAGGCACAGCCATGGAGTGGATTCCATTGATGGCTAGTGGAGATATCACCACTACTCACACCTCATGCGTAGTTGGTGTGGATGTGTTTAGACCCACAACTTGGATGCCCTCATCCAGTTACTCCATGTCGATTCCCTCCTACGGTGACGTTTGCCTGTGTCGACTTGCCACCACAAGAAGTGTTGCCGCGTTTCGTGTCCGCTGCTCTGATATCAGTACACATTCGTCGACAATGTCTTGCCTTGTAATCATTTAGACAGCAGCACCGAGTGGTGGTTTGCGGACGTGGATGGAGTGAATGTCGATAAACCTGCAAAACGAAATTTCTTTGACTGAAATTTTGTCTTCCAATTGATGGCGCTCAAATCTAATTGGCCATTTGTTTTAACTTATTAAATGACCTTGGACTAGAAGAAGTTGTTTTCTAACACTCAAAAATGCAGAAGCAGTCATCATAACATGCATCTTGTATATTTGAATAGATATTACGGTGAAAATGAATTTTTTTTGCGCTTGTCAAGTAATGGACTTAAATGCTTTCGGTTGTTTCTGCTTAAATTAGTTAGTTGCGAGCATTGAAGTTGAGCTAAGCTACATTCTGCCTTCCTCTATTCTTAATTGCATGCATCAAAGCATCCAAATCACCCATGGTACCCAGACCGGGATGAATGTGCTCGAAGATCACATTGCCCACTCCGTGCAATTTCACTGGCTGGAGTTGCGACATCGAGATCAAAATGACAAAACCAGCATCGATAATCTTTTGGATGTAATCAACTGAATTTGCTCAAAAGTGGAGTGCATCCATTGCTTCTTCAAAATCTATCACCACCTACCTTGCAGATCATCCACCATATCGCCATCTAAATACATGATTGTAAACGGCTTCACCCAGTAGCCAACTTTCGATTGCCAGAACGTTTGCGCTTGACAGAATAAACATTTCAAGGTAAATACAATGCATGGAATTGATGAAAACAGGGTATGTATCCAAACTATCCAAAAAAATACGGTTATCGCATTTTGCAATCGACGTCAGTCAGCTCCTCTTGGTCGATCCGCAACAAATTCTTTTTGATGAATAGAGAACTCCCATTTTCAATTCCAATGCAACAGCTATATCTTTTTACGACGAGGCCAAATCCCCTAAATTTGTACAATCACTATTTACATTGGCGCGACCACCCAGAACGCACAGGTAGCGAGTCAGGACGCGATTGAATTTACATTAGCTTCAGTCTCAAGAGCTTCAGACAATTAAAACAAGCCCTGTTAATATTCGTACAGCTTAATTTATTCGCATTTACTTAAATAAAATGCAAAACCGCAAAAACTGAGCTGCAAAATTTTGTACAACCTGTACGAAGAGCAAGTTTTTTCTTGAAAAGGAATGCTTCATAAAACACGCCTTATTCTAGTGCGAGTTTCTACAAACATTACTGTTATTTACAAATGTCCACTTATCGTGTACACCTTTGTGCATATTTACTTAGCTTTTGTATTTTGATGATGTTATACCTATTCCACCATTATATCTTCCCCTCTTATATCCCAAGTACTCCTCCAACTTTTACCAAACCACAATAATACATCTCACCATTCTCTCGCCTAACATGAGCATATGGTGTTTCACAATTTGTTTAATAAATGTGTCAATGCGACCAATATCCTTCCTTCATCGGTGTTTGACAACGCCTCCCCTGACATGAGGTTCGTATAGTTTGCCTTCCTCTCGATTAAGGGTGTACCAGATCAAGGATAAATGGCGCAACTGCTTCTTATTTTGTGGATCGTCCACGTTTCTTCCCTTGCACCGGATTTATTTATGCACCGTTTTTGCTGGCGTTCTCCATTTACGCACTCTGCATTCCTCACCCTTGTATCCAGTTTGTGGTGCTGCATTAATGGATCGTATCTAATTTTGATGGACGATGCTTGGCTCTACGTGAATGTATGTGTCATAGACCGAATAATTTGCCTCATGAGGTGATCCCTGTCAGTGAAATGCGTCTTTGCGTCATGCACTCCAGAGGGCGCGCAGAACACTTTCCGGGACCTGCATTAGACCTTTTCTTGGTGGACGTCAGGCCAACTCTGTTCGCGGTCGTTTTATATTTCTGGTTGTGTCGGCACACTTGGGATCTGTCATTCTAAGCAATGGAAAATAAAGTAACGTTTAGGGCATTGTCAAAGGGAGGCCACTTATCAAAAAACTATTAGAGCAGAGAAATGTTTCATCATATCGCAATATTGGTTGTTTTTTTAAGCGTAGGAGATAGAACACCTTATACTTATTTATTTGGAATCGCTTAGTATTTCGATGTATCTTTGTACTGTACACTGTTTTGTTGTCCACGAACTCGATTCTGCCTCCTACATGGTAGACGTTGGCTAACTCTGCCAGTGGTCGTGTCATATCGTTGTGTGGCATATGACGGGCATGGGTGTTGACGCGCAAGTTTGAACTGTGATGGATTGTTCTTTTAGAGATCATGCGTACTCTGGAGCCTTGCGAGTTGATCCCTTCACGTTCCGTGATATAATGCTGACTGACACTCTTATTTTACTGCATAAGTACCCTTAAACCTACAAAATACAGGTTAATGCGTAGACATTCGCCCTATATTGTGAACTAAGCTCAGAATTTCAACAAGTCTTTGCAAAATGTTGTTTACTTTCTGACAGTGTGACTTTTAGGACGGAGCCTGAGCTTTGTGTAAACTTAGGCAGGGGTTGCGTTAACAAACATACTCGGTTGACAGGTTCAAGTAGTCACCAGTTTTTCCTTAGTTTTTTGTATTTAATAATGCGAAACAACCGCTGATGTTGTAATAACCTCCTCAGTCGTTCACCTGCCATGGTTTTTGTCATGCTTGTGTGTCACGGAGCTTTAATTACCCCCTTTTCCGCCCTACAGTCATTTTTAACCTTAAACATTGACCTTACTTCAACTATGCAAAAAACATGCAACTTGTTAGGTAGGATCTCCTCAGGTAGTGCTACTCAAGCGATGTGAGCTTTGGATACTGACCCTAATATCAAGTGAATGACAGTGACTGATGACAGGCACAGATTCGATTGCAGCGAGCTCCATACTCAATGACTGCACAAAATGAATTATGCTGCATTTAGATCATAAAGTGCTCCTCTTCCACGCTTGTTTTTGATTAATTTTCTTGCATCGCTTAAGCTTTGTAAGTCCATCCTATTTGCATGCTACTCACGATGAAATAAGTAGTGCTACCCCCTCGATAAAGCCTAATCATGATATCCTATTTTTTTACTTCGTGAGTGCAAAAATTAAATATGACAGCGTTTTTCAAAAGGACTTAGTTATGTAGTCACACTAACATATTTAGTTTTCTTGGTTCCAATCAGCAGACACTCTCCAAAAGTGATTAGTGACACTACGTCTGGATACTTGCTGATACCTTGCATTTTAGGCCATTCAAAATGAAATAAAAGGCAAGAAATCAAATCCATTCCTTACACGCAAATAGCCTGGGGAGAGTTTTTTTCGAACCCTACTTCATTTACTGCATTGAATCACACCTCTTTCTCAGCCAACTTCCTGTAAACACAAGTGGCCCTAACACCGGTCGTCAAATATAAATAAGACGGCGTGGGTTTTCGTGGCACCTCAGTACCTGCATCATGGGTGTTACTCGTGCAGCAGTCGCGTTCATCTGGTTGGGCCTTTTGACTTTGTTCTCCACTTCCACTTGTCAGGATGCCTGTCCAGGCAATTGCGTCTGTTTCAGTCAATCCATTGTATGTCGTCGATCCACCGAGACAATAATTCCAAAGATACCAGCATTCTTGGATGGTCCACAGGGTGGTGCTTTACAGTACTTTGCTATTACTAACACCAAACTGTCACGTGTACCTACCGAGGCATTTGTTGGACTACTTGACATCATGAGCATTGACCTGTCAAATAATGAAATCGAGGTTATTGAAGAAGGTGCTTTTCAGGATCTTCCAATATTGGCGCACTTACTTCTACGGCAGAATCGACTGACACAACTGCCTGACAACATCTTTGATACCTTGCCCAGTCTGGAGGAGCTCGATCTCTCCTTCAATCAGTTAACCACCATCCCATCGTCCCTACAACGAATGGTGGGATTAAAGAGCCTCAGTTTACGTGGCAATCCTCTTCACTGTGGTTGTGGAATAGTCGATTTTGCACAGCTTCTTCCATATTGGGAAAGTTCACTGGATCGAGTAACATGCGCAACTCCAGCTCAGGTGGCTGGAAAGTCGATCAAGGAGTTGGGACGTCAATACTTCCAAGCATTTGAAGGGACTCGTCATTTAGGCCACTGGCCAGATGAATACGCCTTCCCTGAAGAGATCAGCAGGAAGCAACTAATTCGAACCCGCACACCTTGGCCATTGCCACACTGCCCAGTGAAGGATCTTGGTGGAGAAGTTGTGGATAATGTGGACAGCTCAACTGGATCATATGAAGCGCCACAAATTATAGAAGCTCCAGTTCCTGTTATGGTTGCTGAAGGTGAAAGAGTCTTCTTCGTGTGCCAGGCTACCGGTGTACCCAGACCTAAAATTAGTTGGATTTTGCCTACAAACAACTCTCAACACGTTCACCTTTGGGACAAACGAAAGGTAAGTTAATCTGTTACACCGCATATTGCTTGCGAATAGTCCTTCTGTATGGATTTCAGTAGCCATTGGAATCCTTGCTCTCTTTTTAAACTACAAAAGTCGTTCAGATCAAACCGGGATGGGTGGTTCATTACTTGGTCGGCACCAGTGACCCTACTTGGAACAGCCCACTTCACTTAACCACAGGTCACTCGGCCATCCAGACATCACACTGGTGAACAAAGCATTCGCAGTAGCTACTGCCTCAGCACAAATGCGGCTGGGATGGAGTACTGACAGCCATACCTTCATGTCTCGCCCCCTTACCGTGGAGCAGTTGAACCGATTGCTGGCTTCCGCAATTTCCTTAGCAAGAGACTTTGCCCATCACGCTTTGCTTCATGTACACGTACACAATCAGCACTGAGGTGTGCATGCCATTCTGACAGGCGGCACATGGACCAAAGCGCATTGACAGACGACTTGTGCACCAGGGCACAGTACAAGCAATTAACTGTGGTACCTACATATAGATAAGCAATTTATGGGTGGAACAATGAAAGTTCTTCCCAGTACTCGGTTTGTAGGCAGACTGTTAACTTTCAAATGGTGCGGTCGATTTGAACAGTTAGAAAAACACAAATAACCTTTACTCGCTTCTTTTTTTGGTTTGAACAGATTTTGGAGTTACGAGAGGTGCACGCCTACCACGAAGGCACGTACACTTGCGTCGCGAAGAACCAGGTGGGACAAGTCAGTCATTCGGTGATGCTTCAACTCGTGGATATCGTGAAGCCACAAATTACGGATGCACCTTCCACAAAGGCGACGGTCGGTGAGCCTGGAGGTGATATCGAGCTCACTTGTACAGCCCGTGGACGTCCGAGACCCACAGTTGATTGGCTCTATACTCACACCTCTTCTGCTAAGCGTCTCTCCACTCAGGGTCGTTATGTTGTACGTAGCTCTGCTAAACTTTCCACTCGAACCATTCAAGATCTGACTTATCGGGACTTCTTGGCACAAACTGATGAAAGCCTCCGTTTAGAAGGTGAAGAGGAATCTGTCACTCTGACCATTCGTAATGTCACAGAACTTGACACAGAAGGCCGCTACACCTGCTACGCTGCTAATCGCGCTGGCTCCACACGTGTCACCTCCCTAGTTACCTTGAAAAAGTGGACGGACATGGCCAGTGACTATGGAGGTGAAGATAAAGATGCGTCTAGAGGCAAACGAGTCGAAAGTGATAGTGCAGAAATCTCCGACAAGGAATCAGATGAGGATTTAGTGAAGCGGGTAATTGAAAAGGCCAGACGAAGAATTGATGCAGCAATCCAAAAAACTGCTGACAATCTTCGTGATCCGAAAAACCGAAGGACTGCTTCCGATATTGCTTCACTCTTTCGACAACCTAGCAAGGCTGCTGTAGAGTTGGCCAGAGCTGCTGAAGTCTATGAAGCGGCGATTGATGAAGTTACCCAAATTCTACAACGGCAGAGAAACCTGTCTTTTGGAAAGGATACCGAGGGTCCCTACCGCAGTGACGCAGACTTTGATGAGCAGAAAAGACAAGCAATGGGGGTTCAGCTGACAGCTGAGCAGCTTGCCATTATTGCTCAGCTCTCGGGCTGTGCGCAATCGCAACGTGTAGAACCTTGTGATCGACAGCTCTGCTTCCACATGCGATACAGATCCATTGACGGCAGT